CCAAGATTACTCTATCCAGCAAAGCTTTCATTTAGAATGGAAGGGCAGATAAAGTGCTTCTCAGATAAGGTCAAGTTAAAGGAGTTCATCATCACCAAGCCCTTATTATATGAAATGTTAAAGGGACTAATCTAGGAAAAAGAAGATAAAAAACATGTACAGTAAAATGACAACAAACTCACAATTAACAACCACACCTAAAATAAAAACAAAAACTAAAACAACTAGAACATGAGTAGAACCACGGAAATGGAGATCACATGGAGGGTTAGGGACAGGGCAGTGGGAGAAGAAGTGGGGGGGAAGGTACAGAGAATAAGTAGCATAGATGGTAGGTAGAAAATAGGGGGAGGGTAAGTATAACATGGGAAATGTAGAAACCAAGAACTTACAAGTATGACACATGGACATGAACTGAAGGGGGAGAATGTGGGTGGGAGGGGTTGCGCAGGGAGGAGGGGAGTGAAGGGGGGGAAATGGGACAACTGTAATAGCATAATCAATAAAATATATTAAAAAAACTCACATCTGTATAAAGTACTTCAAATAACCTCAATAGCATTTAAAATATTTACGATTTCTGTTTAAACTGGGGGTAGTTAGAGGAGAGTAAGATCAGAATACCACTTACCAAGAAAGGGCGAGTCTTACCCCTAAGCAATTGCTCAATATTTTTATTGATTTGATAATGAATTTTGAATTTGTCCTTATTTATAAATAGCTAATTTCATCACCTTTGAAAATTTTTATATTCAAGTTATACCAGTCATGTATATGTTTACAATTAAACAGCCAATAAATTCAAATGACCCTATTAGTATATTGCATATGAACAAACTGTCATGTAAACCAGATGGTAGAAAACTTACATTATAATCCTATATACCCTATAAACTCTTCAAAGTGTTTCTAGATAGCTTAAAATTTGAAAGCAACAAAACTTCTCAAGAGACAGAAGGACAAAGGAGAGAAGACTTCTCTGACGGTCAGAGTTGGGGATGGTGGCAGCATTGTGAGTCCCCTGGAAGCTTCTGTGCTGTTCACATTATGGGATCTCTGTGGGCGAATTAAACTGTAAAATAGCCAGTGTTAGACAATGTTTTTGAGTACCCGTCTTATGCTGGAGGGAACAAAAAAAATAGAGATGGCACTGAAGAGATATTCTTGTGCTGCTACTGCTCTCAGCTTGTTATTTTGAGCTCCATGCTCATGAGTCACACCTGCCTGGAACACCCATTTTTAATAAATATTGCAACTGCATTGTTTATACACATTGCTGTTTACATGGTTGAATAAGTACCGGGGGAGGTGGGTGTTATACCTGGAAAAGCACAGCTTTTACTCTTTCTGTTGCCACTCATTCCAAACCGTGATCATTTTTGTTGTGATGTGTTGGCCTGCAACATTGGGGGAGAGAGAGAGCTGCAGAAACATGCACCTTGTGAATTTTATAAAATTGTAAACATAGAGCTCAAGAGCCTTCCTAGCTTTTATTTGAACAATCATTATAACTGAAAAGATGATTTCACATAATAAATGCCTGCATTGAGCTCCATAACAAGTGTGGTACTCCTTGTATCTGGTATAGAGGTGCTTTGAGTCCTCCTGGGTATTTATTTCAATCTCAGTAATTTGGTGGTATATTGTAGTTCACATCTATTTGTGTATTACTTGTCAGATTTGACAAATATCCAGTAATGTACTCTGAATTTTCCTTTCTGGTATTGTAGCAATTCTGGTATCACTACCAAATGAATATAAAGTGCATTTTTTTTTGCAATTCAGTAAAGGTACTAATTTACTCTTAAAGACTGCATGTGGGTTCTGTGGGAGAGTATGGGAGAATGTAGACATGTGTCTGTGTCACCACGGCTTTGGTACACATGCCTTTGTACTGGGTTGGCCAAAAAGTGTGATTGTTTTTGTTCTATAAAATAAAAGGCACATTTTTTCATTTTGCTTTACCACTAAACCAATAGCTTTATTGATTTGGATATTTTGAGTATGTCAGCTAACTCCTATGTAGTATAACATTGATTATGAATTAATATCTTTATTTGATCACAATCAACTTCAACTGGTCTACCCGACTGTCGATTGTCCAGCGAGAAATCTCCACCTTGGAACTTCAAACCACTTTGGACAGGTTCGATCAGTCACAGCGCCTTCTCCATACACTGCACAAATCTTTTTTCATGTTTCAGTTGCGATTTTACCTTTCTTGAATAATAAAGCATAATATCTCCATAATGTTGCTTATTTTCTTCCATCTTCAATATTAAAATGGCTACACAAAATTCTCCAATTTTGATAAGTTTTTTAATGCATGTTGATATGACAGCTATAACAATACAACCTAACAAAATGCAAAACAAACAAACAAACAAACAAACATTTTGCCAACCCAGTATATGATTTTTTCCTGCCTTGGGAAACCATGAAACTAAGAAGTGTTACTCTGTGGTTAGAAAATAGACTCGACTACAAAATACCATCAACTTGGGAAAACTGAGTTTTGCAATCTTTGATTTGGCATCTCCTGGAATATCATGTAATTTGCAAGTAAAATCTTCACCAAAATAAAAACCCTTTCCCTTATTTTGCAGCTCTTTCTCTGCCCTCCCGTGTGTTTCAGGTTTGTAATGTTTGAGCACAATTCCTGGGGGAGTTTCCCATTTGCCTCTGTGTGTGTTATTTGTGGCAGAGAACTGTGTCCGGTCAGCAGCTCTAGACCTGGAGCCTGTGGACACTATATGCTGGGCTTCAGTGGAAAGAGAGATCTGCTTAACTTTGTCCCAGGTGAAGGAGTCCAGCGGTTCCTAGCCTGAACTACTGGAAGGTTCCCACATCCTCTTTGTCCCTTTAGTTGAGATGATTGGCAGTAGAAAATGTCCAGTGAGTGTTAAGAACTTATTGAAAGATGTCTTAGTTTTATAGTTTTATTGTTAGGGCAAAAAATGAGAATAATTTATTTCTATGATAAAGGTTAAATGAAAATAAATGTCAATTTAATATTTATATTCTTAGATGCTTAGCAAACCAGACTCAACTGTTAGTTTTGAAAACTTCCCCTTAGATTCTGGGATTTTGGAACTGTGAAGTTGGGTTGGTAAAGATGTAAGCTCTTTCAACTTCGAAGGTGGCAGAGCGTGAATTATAACCCTGAACAGCTGAATTTGAAATAGTCATTTATGCAATTGTAACTCTTGGTGTAGCCAATTAAAAAGCACTTTTTAAAAAGCTGCTCCTTTGTTTAAACAAAGGAGAGGAAACTAATCTCCCGGGAAAGGTAGCATCTGAGTAAATAAAATCCCTGTGGTGTTCTCTTGCCAGGCTCTTCCCATCATTTGAAAATATCACACTAGTTAAAATGGGAGGGTTCCATTGTATACTGTTTTGGAAAACTCAAGTTACCATCTGTAACATAAACCACTGAAAGTTACGCTAAAACATTTATGTTATACAGTGACAGATATGTTACCATTGCCAAGATATTATTGCTTTAGCACAACAGTTCCAAAACCAAGAGACAAATGGGAAGATAGTAGAACTATAAATGCTATTTCTCAATAAAGTAAATTCAGCATGTATATAAAATATTAAGAAGGTTTTATTATAAAACCTTCCACTTTACTTTTTCCACTTTACTTTTCTCATTAAAGCAGGCATTTTAATAGACTGATTGGGGGGAAAAAAAGTATGTTCCTTTCCAAATTGCATTACTGGTGAACTTCTTTAAATTGTCTCTTTAAAAAAAATTTTTGGGCAAGATTGATAAGCCTTAGTCAGTGAAATTGGTAGCACTTAATTTTTGCTAAATGTACCTTTGAAGTCAAAATCATATTTGGATAATCATTTGAATATTTTGTTTATGCTCTAAAGAATTAACCGCATTACAAAAGACTATACCTGCTTTAAATCAGTTACCTTTTGCAGTTTCTTTCAATTGTTTTACTTTTTTAGCCCATAATTTCACAGCATTTTCTCTTTGGCAAGGCTCAATGTACCTTAAATTTTTTAAAACAAGAAGTAAAGAATTGAGGGTAGATGCTGTTAGAAAAATTTGAAGGAAGATGAGCAAATGCAGTTTGGATTGGATGGAGAAAACCGTGGTGATCTCAAGCCAAGTACCATTAATTTTGTTATTGGTCAGAGAAGATTAATATTCTGAAGACTCTCTAGGTTCAGGACACAATCGCAGGAGCTGCACTGGGCAGCACTGTCCTGCACTGGGACTGCACTGGGACACAGGTGGCTTGTGTCAGACCCTGCTGGAGCTAGGAGTGCTAACTAGTGCACCAGGCTCACAGGAAACCCAAGTGAGTTTTGTTCCCTGCCCCCACCCCCCAATTTTCTCCTAATAAAATGATGGCTGTAACTTTGTTTCACATCTGAAGTCTACAAATATAAACAGGCAAGAATGTGAGCCTTTAACCATTTTAGGATTTTTCTTGGTAAACCTTTATAAAATTGAAACAGTTGTAGATAGTAAGAATATACAATATAGCTATTGATACTTCTACAAGATAGGAGTAAGAAATGGAAGAGAAAACTTTCTGAGTTCACAGGTTACAGAAAAGTTGGCTTGCCTGAGTGGGCTCAGTAGACCTAAGGCACCTGACTTACTAGCCAATCTAATTAAAATGCAATGCTTTTAATTTTGACACCTGATGTACACACAAAGGTGTCACGATAATTATAAGTCTGTGTCAGTTCTTCTTGTTATAAATAGACTTCTGGGGACAGTGATGCATTATTTACCAAATTAGAAGAGCAACTTTTTTTGTTTGCATGGAGCCTTGTTACTGAATCAAATACTTCTTTCTCTGCATGCTCTTACTTATGTAGTTTATTTGCATTTTATTTGCATAGCTCTAGTTAAATCAAAATAATACATTTCAGTATTAGTTTAACGTGCCTATGTTTTATTTTGTAATAAAAATTCCATCTCCAATCATATGAATGTCAGTAATTTGTACTCTTTTTCATAATGTTTACAGCAACCGTTCTGACATCTGGTACAACTGCAACGGTAGCACTGTTGAGAGATGGCATTGAACTGGTTGTAGCCAGTGTTGGGGACAGCCGGGCTATTTTGTGTAGAAAAGGGAAAGCCATCAAGCTGACCACTGACCACACTCCAGAAAGAAAAGATGAAAAGGAAAGGTACCACCTCCAACTCATGAGGATGTTCTTTTGTATCTATGTCATAGAAATGAAACATTGCCTTTTAAACTGATTTAATGATTTCAAGGTTAACCATGCCTGGTTTTCTGGTCTTAACTTTTTTTTGATCAGGATCAAGAAATGTGGTGGCTTTGTAGTTTGGAATAGTGTGGGACAGCCTCATGTGAATGGCAGACTTGCAATGACAAGGAGTCTTGGAGATTTGGATCTTAAAAACAGTGGTGTGATAGCAGAGCCCGAAACGAAGAGGATTAAGGTAAGAAAGGACTTATTAAACACATTTATTTTTTTTTCCATTTTTATTTTTATTTTTTTCTTCCAATTTTATTTTAATCATTGTTCAAGTACAGTTTTCTGTCCTTTACTCCCATCCCAGCCCACCCACCCCTCCCTCCTCAACTCCCTCCCATTTCCAACCTTCCACCTAGTTTTTGTCCATGTGTCCTTTATGTTTGTTCCTGTAAACCCTTTCCATTCTCCCCTGAAATTCCCTCCCCTCCCCCCTCTGGTCTCTGTCAGCCTGTTCTCTATTTGAGTGTCTGTGGTTATATTTTGCTTGTTTCTTTGTTTTGTTGTTTAGGTCCCTGTTAAAGGTGAAATTATATGGTATTTGTCTTTCATTGCCTGGCTTATTTCGCTTAGCATAATGCTTTCCAGCTCCATCCATGCTGTCACAAAGGGTAGGAGCTCCTTCTTTCTTTCTGCTGCATAGAATTCCATTGTGTAAATGTACCATAGTTTTTTGATCCATTCATTTACTGATGGGCACCTAGGTTGCTCCCAGCACTTAGCTATTGTAAATTGTGCTGCTATGAACATTGGGGTGCAAAGATTCTTTTGGATTGGTGTTTCAGGGTTCTTAGGATATAATCCCAGCACTGCAATTGCTGGGTCAAAAGGCAGATCCATTTTTAGTTTTCTGAAGAAGTTCCATACTGTTTTCCATAGTGGTTGTACCAGTCTACATTTCCACGAACAGTGCACTAGGGTCCCCTTTGCTCCACGACCTCTCCAACACTTGTTGTTTGTTGCTTTGTTTATGATGGCCATTCTGACCGGTGTGAAGTGGTATCTCATTGTGGTTTTAATTTGTATCTCTCTGATAGCTAGCGATATTGCACATCGTTTCATGTGTCTTTGGATTTTCTGTATGTCCTCCATGAAGAAGTGTCTGTTCAAGTCCTTTGCCCATTTTTTAATTGGGTTGCTTGTCTTCTTAGAGTGGAGTCGTGTAAGTTCTTTATATATTTTGGAGATTAAACCCTTGCCTGAGGTATCATTGGCAAATATGTTTTCCCATACAGTTGGTTCTCTTTTTATTTTGATACTGTTTTCTTTACCTGTGCAGAAGCTTTTAATTTTGATGAGGTCCCATTTGTTTATTCTTTCCTTTATGTCCCTTGCTTTAGGGGACGTGTCAGTAAAAAAGTTACTATGTGAAATATCTGAGATTTTCCTACCTACGTTCTCCTCTAGGACTTTAATGGTGTCATAGTTTATATTTAAATCTTTTATCCACCTTGAATTTATTTTTGTATAAGGTGTAATTTGGTGCTCTAGTTTCATTTTTTTGCACGTAGCTGTCCAGTTCTCCCAACACCATCTGTTGAAGAGGCTATTTTTACTCCATTTTATGTTGCTACTTCCTTTGTCAAATATTAATTGACCTTGGAGACTTGGGCTTATTTCTGGGCTCTCTGTTCTGTTCCATTGGTCCATGTGCCTGTTTTTATGCCAGTACCAGGCTGTTTTGATTACAGTGGCCTTGTAGTACAGTTTAGTGTCAGGTATTGTGATCCCTCCTACTTTACTCTTCTTTTTTAAAATTGCAGCAGCTATTCAGGGTCATTTATGGTTTCAGATAAATTTTTGAAGTGTTTGTTCTACGTCTGTGAAATAAGCCATTGGTACTTTAATAGGAATTGCATTGAATGTGTAAATTGCTTTGGGTAGTATGGACATTTTGATGATATTAATTCTTCCAGTCCATGAACATGGTATATGTTTCCATTTGTTTGTGTCTTTCTTGATTTCTTTCCTCAGTGTTATGTAGTTTTCTGAATACAAGTCTTTTACCTCTTTGGTTAGGTTTATTCCTAGGTATTTTATTTTTCTTTTTGCTATTTCAAATGGGATTTTTTTTCTTGATTTCTGCTTCTGCTGTTTCATTGGTGGTGTACAGAAATGCCTTTGATTTCTGGATATTGACTTTGTATCCTGCTGTTTTGCCAAATTCATTTATTAGGTCAATCAGCTTTTTGCCCGAGTCTATAGGATTTTCTATGTACATTCTCTTGTCATCTGCAAACAGTGACAGTTTTGTTTCCTCCTTCCCAATTTGGATGCCTTTTATGTCCTTTTCTTGTCTGATCACTGTGGCTAAAACTTCTAGTACTATATTGAATAGAAGTGGTGAAAGTGGACAGCCTTGTCTTGTTCCTGATCTTAGTGGAAAAGGTTTTAATTTTTGCCCATTGAGTATGATGTTGGCTGTAGGCCTCTCATATATGGCCTTTATTATGTTGAGGAATGCTTCCTCTATTCCCACTTTGCAGAGTGTTTTTATCATAAATGGGTGCTATACCTTATCAAATGCTTTTTCTGCATCTGTTGATATGATCATGTGGTTTTTGTCTTTGCTTTTGTTTATGTGATGTATTACATTTACTGATTTGTGAATATTGTACCATCCTTGCATCCCTGGAATGAATCCCACTTGGTCATGGTGTATGATCTTTTTAATGTATTGTTGGATGTGGTTTGCCAGTATTTTGTTGAGGATTTCAGCGTCAATGTTCATCAACAATATTGGCCTGAAGTTTTCTTTCTTTGTTGTGTCTTTATCTGGTTTTGGAATTGGGATGATGTTGGCCCATAAAAACGAGTTTGGGAGTCTTCCATCTTTTTGGATTTTTTTGGAATAGTCTGTGAAGGATAGGGGTTAGCTCTTCCTTAAATGCTTTGTAGAATTCTCCTGTGAAACCATCTGGTCCAGTGCTTTTGTGTGTTGGTAGTTTTTTGATTACTGCTTCAATTTCATCTGCTGTTATTGGTTTGTTCAGGCTTTCTGCTTCTTTTTCATTGAGTTTTGGAAGATTATATTTTTCTAGAAATTTGTCCATTTCATCTAGGTTTTCAAATTTCTTGGCATACAGTTCTTGGTAGTAATTTCTTACAATCCTTTGTATTTCTGTGGTGTTAGTTATAATCTCTCTTCTTTCATTTCTGGTTGTGTTTATTTGGGTCTTCTCTCTTTTTTTTCTTGATGAGCCTGCTTAAAGGCTTGTTGATTTTGTTTATCTTTTCAAAGAACCAGCTCCTGGATTCATTGATCCTTAGAATTGTGCTTTTAGTCTCTATGTCATTTAGTTCTACTCTGATCTTGGTTATTTCCTTCCTTCTGCTTGCTCTGGGCTGTCTTTGTTGTTGTTCCTCGAGTTCTTGTAGACGTAGGGTTAGGTTGTTTGTTTGGAATATTTCTATCTTTTTTAGATAGGCCTGTATTGCTATGAACTTCCCTCTCAGTACTGCCTTCACTGTGCCCCATAAGTTTTGGGTTGTTGTGAGTTCATTTTCATTTGTTTCCAGAAAATTTTGATTTCTTCCCTAGTTTCATTCTTGACCCATTCATTGTTTAATTGCATGCTATTTAATCTCCATGATTTTGAATGTTTTGTTTTCTTTTTTTCCTTGGGATTGGTTTCTAGTTTCAGTCCCTTGTGATCTGAGAAAATGCTTGGTATGATTTCAATTTTCTTGAAATTCTTGAGGCTTGTTTTGTGTCCTATCATGTGATCTATCTTTGAAAATGTTCCATGTACATTTGAAAAGAATGTGTATTTAGCTTCTTTGGGATGGAGGGCTCTGTATATATCAGTTAAGTCCATTTAATCTCAGGTATTGTTCAATGCCATAATATCTTTGTTGATATTTTCTTTGGAAGATCTGTCCATTTTTGACAGTGGGGTGTTAAAATCCCCCACTATAATTGTGTTGCTGTCAATATCTTTCTTGAAGTCCTCTAAGATTTTCTTTATGTATTTGGGTGCTCCTATGTTGGGTGCATATATATTTACAATATTTATGTCTTCTTGGTGGATTCTTCCCTTGAGTATTATTAAGTGACCTTCTGGATCTCTCTTTATGGCCCTTTTTTGGAAGTCTATTTTGTCTGATATGAGTATTGCTACCCTGGCTTTTTTTCCTGTCCATTTCCTTCTTAAATTTGTTTCCAGCCCTTCACTTTCAGCCTGTGCAGGTCTTTTATCCTGAGGTGGGTCTCTTGTAGGCAGCATATGTGTGGGTCATGTTTTCTGAACCATTCAGCTATTCTATGTCTTTTGATTGGAGCATTTAATCCATTTATGTTGAAGGTTATTATTGATAGGTACTTATTCATTGCCATTTACGTACTTGTGTTCCTCTCTCTCTCTCTCTCTCTCTCTCTCTCTCTCTCTCTTTTCCTTCCTTTTCTTAAAGCAGTCCCTTTAGCATCTCTTGTAGAGCTGGTTTGGTGGAGGTGTATTCTTTTAGACTTCTTTTGTCTGGGAAATTTCTTGTTTGGCCTTCTATCTTGATTGAGAGCCTTGCTGGATATAGTAGCCTTGGTTGCAGACCTCTGGTTCTCATTACTTGGAATATTTCTTGCCATTCTCTTCTGGCTTGGAGTGTTTCCATTGAGAAGTCAGCTGTTAGCCTTATTGGGGCTCCCTTGTATGTTACTTCTTGTTTCTCCCTTGCTGCCTTTTAGATTCTCTCTTTGTCTTGAAATTTTGCCATTCTAATTATGATGTGTCTTGAGGTGGGCCTCTTTGGGTTGATTGGGACTCTCTGTGTTTTCTGGATTTGTGTGACTTTTTCTCTTATCAAATTAGGGAAGTTTTCCATCATTATTTTTTCATATAAGTTTTCTATCCCTTGCTCTTGTTCTTCTCCTTCTGGTATCCCTATTATATGGATATTATTATGTTTCATATTGTCTTGCATTTCTTCCCTCTTCATTTAATCCCTCTTCATTCTTTCTGAGCTTCTTTTCCTTTTCTTGCTCTTTCTGGGTGTTTTTTTCTACTTTGTCTTCCACTTCACTGATCTAATCTTCTGTTTCATCGGTCCTGCATTTGACTCCTTCTACTGTGTTCTTCAGTTCAGAAATGGCATTCTTAATTTCCTCTTGGCCCTTGTTGATAGTTTCTATTTCCTTTTTCATGTTGATACAGTTTGCAGTGAGTTCCTTGTAGTTTCCCTGTAGTTTCTGGTAGCTCATTGTGAACTCATTGAGCTTCTTGATGATCATTTCTTTGAACTCAATATCTGATAGTTGAGTTGCCTGTATTTCATTTAGCATTTTTTTCTGAGGCTTCCTCCTTTCCCTTCATTTGGGGATTGTTTCTTTGTCTTCACATTGTTTGTGATACTCTTCTTGTTAGCCTCTGTTTCTTAACTTGATCTGTTCTGGTTCCCTGAGTTTATAGTGTGAGCTCCTGTTGTCATAGAATACCTGTGAGATTCAGTGGTGCAGTCTCTTTCAGGTATCCTGGTGTTCACAGCTTCCCTCTACTCCTTTTTGTGATCAGTTAGAGGGATAAGGCAAAATGGTTTAAGATAGCAAGAGAGTATTGTATGATATTTACGGTAACAGCCAGTGGAGAAGAGATAGGAGATCCTTTGGCTACGTATAGTGATAACTGTGATCTTCCACCCCACTAGCCAGTTTTTAGAAAGGATAGAAAGAAGATAAGGGTCTTATTGGGGAGGAAAGGATTGGGAGTTGGATCTAGGAAGCGGTGAGGTTGTGGGAGGTGAGATTCTGAGGTAGGGTGAGACTAAAGAATAGTAAATAGGTGTAGTGTGTGATAGAATAGAGTTAACCACTACAGTAATAGAGTTCAGGAAACCATGAAGTGGGCTAAGATGTGAGAGGGGTATTGGGTAGTATTGAAAATTGTGTGGAATAGCTATTGTTTACAGTAGTATTAGAGCAACAATCATATGATAGAATCTATGAGATCTAGATAACAAGAATAGGGAGTATAGAACCTTGAGTAGTGTGCTAATGGAACACAAATAAAGGACAGTAAATTAGCAATACACTATGAATGAGATAACAAAGGAAACCTGTCAAATGATACCAGCCAATCAAAGAAGTCTATGCAGAAAGAAGAGGAATACCAAGATACTATTAAAATAAAAAATGTAAGAATAATGAAAAAATAATAATACAAATATGCAATAACTTGCCGGTTCAAAAAAAGAAAAAAAGTAAAAAAGCAGAAGATGGAAGGAAGAAGAGATAAATTTGGAAAGAAAGTAAGAAAGAATAACACAAGGAAGGAAGGAAGGAAGGAAGGAAGGAAGGAAGGAAGGAAGGAGGAAGGAAGGAAGGAAGGAAGGAAGGAAGGAAGGAAGGAAGGAGCATAAGGAATTGAGAGGTATAAAAATAATAAGAATTAAAAAATAAAAAGTTACTTTAAAAAAAAAGACAAAATAACAAAAAAACCTCTTGTTGGTTTCCAACTGGCCAGGCCAGTTTTTCTGGTCTTTCTGGCTTCTGCAGGCGGAGGAGGGGCGGTTCGTATCTCTTTTCTCCTTTCCTGTTCAGCACTCAGGCAGCCTCTTGCGTACTGTCCCTAGGTCTAGCCGCTCATTCTCCCCAGAGCCAGTCTGGTGCTTCTCGCAGGGCCCTGGGTGTGGGATCTGGGTCCTCCTAAGGACGCTCTCCAGAGCTCACGGCTGTTGGCTGCTGGATCCTGCAGAGTGTGGAGTGCACTCGCCTTCTCCGTGTTCACGGTTGTGTGCTCTGGGGATCCTGTGGAGCACTCGCACCTCTTCCGGGTTCAAGGTGTGAGCTCCGGGGATCCTGAGGGGTGCGCACTTCCCCCAAATTCACAGCCGTTGGAACCGGTGATCCTGCGGAGCACCCGTGCTTTTTCCTTGTTCACGGCTGTGGACTCCGGGTCTTCCACAGAACCACGCGTTCTCTGGGTTGTGGGTACTGGCATGGTGCCCGACCAGGACGCCCTTTGTCGCACAGGCACTGGTGCACACTCTTCCCAGGGCTATGTGTGGGCGCTCACAGCCCCTGTGTGATTTCCACTCAGTCCTCACACCCCTCTCTGTGCCTTCAAGCAACCGGGCTTCCCCTGATGATGCTCAATCCTTGTTTGGTGGGGAAGGGAGCGGTTGACCCAGCGCTGGGAGTGCGGGGACTGGGGCTGCAACCTGGCCCCGTCGCCTATCCCTGGGCCCTTGTTATATTGAAGCACTCTTCTTACCTTCTGGTTTTTCATTGTCCGCTATAATTTTTGATCTCCAATTTTCATGTATGTTGTGATATTGTTGGCTGTTTGCTCTAATCCTCCGCTGATTGGCTAGGTTTTCCTCCTGTGTGTAGGGGAAGTGGAATCTGCTCCCTCCTACCACGCCCATAAACACTTTTCATATACAGGAAGGGAATGAATGCAGGGTGTCTCCAGCTACAAGCTTTTTTGGACGCCTTAAATGAAGTCAAAATCGCTTTTGAAAGGGAATAATTCAGGAAAGGATAGACAATCTTTTCAGACAAAATAAGATACTTCCTCCAGGCCCACTGTACGATGACGTTTGGTTTGTTTTACCCACTGTGGAATTCTCGTGGTAGAATGGCACTCCTGCCCGTCCTCACCTGCACATGATCATTTGCGTCACTTGAAACTGACCCTGACTTTCCTTTTCCACCAAGCTAAATAATTGCCTCACCTCTATTTTTTTGTGACATTATCCTTTGCATGCTATTGATTAATGTCCTCATTACCCTGCACTTGCCCCAACACGTGCCCAGTCATGAGCCAGCACTGCCTTCCCTGCAGCCCCTGTCCTACTGTAGTACATGGCACTGTGCAGTGTAGGCGTCCCGTGATGGCCGCAAATGCTTGTTAATTAACGATTTTGTGTCTTATAGATAGCCCACTTATATTTATTTCATCTAACAAGTAACTTACATAAGGTTTACTATGTGCCAGGCTGTGTTCAAAATAGCTACTACCGCTCCATTTTACAGAGAAAACTAATGTAGAGCAGCTAGAGCGCAACTTACCTATGTTTGCCTAGCTGAAAAATAGAGGCAGGCTTCAAACCCAGGAAGCCTGGCTCCAGAGACAGTGCTTTCAACCGTTGTATCTTGCAGCTTCTGGCATTTTGCTCTCTGGCTGTTTTCTTGGTGTGTTACTAAGTAATGATTTGGCTTGTCCTTGATGGTTGAAGCTAAATGTTGCTACTTTTGCCATAAATATAGGACTTCCACTTTCACTCTGTTTTGCCTACAAGCCGCAAACACAGATGCCCACTCAACAAAATTTTAAACAGATAAAATTTTCGAATTGTGAAGATTTTACACTCAGGCTGAGTGTAGTTTTAATACTATGAATTTGGTTCTGATTGCAGCTACATCATGCTGATGACAGCTTCCTGGTCCTCAGTACAGATGGAATTAACTTCATGGTGAACAGCCAAGAGATTTGTGACTTTGTCAATCAGTGCCATGCTCCCAGTGAAGCGGCTCATGCAGTGACTGAACAGGTGACACAGCAGAGCTTCTGCTAGACAAGTCCCAAGGCAGGGAGGAGAGGACAGACCCAGGTGCAGGTTTTGGTACAGACTGGAGGAGTCACACAGGCTTGATTTCTTTGAAATCTTGTGTTTTTGCTCCAGCTTTACAATGAATTTTATGCTTGACCCCATAATATTTCCAATTAAAAAAAATTGACAATTCTCCCAAGTAGTTAAGTAAAATCGATATGCCAAGAAAATGCGCAATGTGTATTTTTTGGCTTTGTACACATCTTGAGATAATAGTAGCAGCAACAGTAAGTTATAATAGTAAATAATATTGCTTACTCTATGCCAGATACTCTTCTGTTTATATATTTTTGACTCACGTAATCATCACGAGGTTGGAGCCAATATTTTCCCTTTTTTGTGGATGAGAAAAACTTAGGCACAGAGGCTGAGAAGCTACGTAACTTATTCAAGGTTACAAAACAAGCTGAAGAATATTTACTGTGTGTTGGGCTTCAAAATGATAGCCAATTTCCTAAGTCCAATCACTTGACCATTCAACTAGACTGCTCTGTGTAGTCACCCAATATAGGAACACTACATCACGTCAACTTCTGGCTTCTGAGAATGAGTGTGTGAAAAAACAAATACAAAAAGTTGTCTGGGTGTGTTGTATGCCACTGTGCCAGAGCTAAAATTTGGAAGCTGGATAATACCCAGTAAAGACCATGTAAAATTTCCATGTTTAATACTCCATTTGGATAGATAGCTTTTAAAAAAAGATTTTTATAGAGAGAGAGAGGGAGAAAAGCAATCAATTTGTTGTTCCACCCATTTATGTACTCATTGGTTGATTCCTGTGTGTTCCCTGACTGGGGGTTGAACCCACAACGTTAGCATGTTGGGGTGACACTCTAACCCACTGAGCCAGGGTAGATAGGTAGCTTTTTAAGTTATAGCCATCATTGACCATTAGAGGCACAGTTTAATTCAACAAGCTATATCTTCATTTGTGGATTTTTACATTTTCAATTCTAGAGCCCAATTAGGCCCAAACTTTTTTTAGAGTTTAAAGTGAAAGAGTTTATTAGTAAAGCAGTGGGACAGAGAGAAGGCTATTCCCTAGGCAGAGCAGCATGGCTCCAGCTTTTAAGTACTACTATTTGTAATGAAGACATAAGACACTACTTGCTTGGAAATAAATGGGGAAGCACAGACTATTCACTTGGTTACTATGCGTGCTCATAAGATTAAGGAAATGAGCCCAGTTCCACTGATGATCACTCCTTTCCTAATTTCAACTACTCTTCTGAGATAATGTGTTGTAAGTCACGAGGGCAATGATATTTGTGATGACTGCGTAGCATTCTGTTATATTTATGTGCCATAATTCATTTAACAGTTTCCTAATCAGCAAATTTAGTTTATATTCACTTTCTCCTATTATAGGGAAACACTATATAATAAACATTATTATATCTATTTGTTCATATCGATTTTCTTCAGGTATTGTTTTCTTAGGTTAAAGTCTTTTAAATAAAATTGCTAGGTAAAAGAATACACAGTACTTCAAAGCTGTTAATGTTTGCCAAACTGCCCTCCAGAGATACTATTCCACTTTACATTTTACTAGCATGTTTTATAGCGTTTATTTCTCATCTGCATATGGTTTGTTTTTTCATTATCTTATAGGCAGTTTTGTATTTTTTATGGTTATTGTAAGAACTTAGTATATGTTAAGTATATTAGTCCTTTGTCTGATATTGCAATTTTTTGTCTTTCAACTTGTAAAACTTTTTTATTTTTTGAAGTATTTTTATCAGATATTTTAATCAACCCTTTCCTTCACAGTTTTAGCCCAAGGCTGTGAGGTCTTTTGCAATACATTTGCTGTTAAATATAATCCCAAGTACTACAATGCTGACTATCTCATTTGCTGTTTGGAAATTTAGCTTATGCCCCTTTTCCATTTTGTAGGGAGTGTAATGAACTTCATTTGTTTTAAAGATTTTATTTGTTTATTTTTAGTGGGGAAGGGAGAGAGAAAGAGAGGGAGAGAAACATCAATGTGTGGTTGCCTCTCACATGCCCCCTACTGAGGACCTTGCCTGCAACCCAGGCATGTGCCCTGACAGGGAACTGAACCAGTGACACTTGTTTTGTAGGCCAGCATTTAATACACTGAGCCACACCAGCCAGGACATGAACTTTCTCATAGTTGTATCTTTATACACATCCACTTCCTTAGGTTATTATCTCTTTAGACTAAATTTCTAAAAGCAGAATTGCTAGCTAAGGACTAATACCTTGTAACTCTTTACCTTGTATTAGTCCCTATGCTAAATGCTTTACAAGTATTTTCTTCAGGAGCTGCATATTTTATATCTTAGTCTATCAGTGTTTCTATTGCCAAAATTGCTGCAGTGGAATATAGTTAATATGGTTGTTTTGGGTCATCTGCAATTGGATAAACTGGGCATTGACACATGGTGAAAGAATCACAAACCACTATGACATAATTGAATTAGTAACTATGTTAAATCAGTTTGACTTTCCAGAGGAAGGATGGTTTCTCTTTGTACAGACTCTGATTTCCAGTGTTTTTCTCTTCCCTCCTGCCAAACCTTGCAGGCAATACAGTATGGTGCTGAAGATAACAGTACTATAATAGTAGTGCCTTTTGGTGCTTGGGGAAAATACAAGAATTTCGAAATCAACTTTTCCTTCAGCAGAAGCTTTGCCTCCAGTGGACGATGGGCCTGATTGCTTGCTGGGATGTTTGAGTCTCCATGCAACAGTTTTTCACCAAGTATATCAAGAAACTGATCAGATCAAAAGGTCAATGGTACCAGAGTGACCCTGTGACTCACTAGATTAGTACACAAGCAATGTCAACATAGTAACCATTCATGTAGTAGTTTTTCAGAAATGCCCATCATGTTTATGTTCACCTGTACATACTCAATATAAATATATGTGTAATTATAGCTATTGGGAGTCTCTACTTTGAGTGAGCATATGAGAAGTGATTTTGATATACTTGCTGATGTTAAATTTTTAATTTTAAAAACTCTTAGGCAGCTATGAGCTTCTTTTGATCATTTTTGTTTATCCATTTGAACAGGTTCTCCAGGTTTTTTTAAAGTAGTATTTTGAAAGTTACCCAATGTGTTATCAGCAGGTGTTTTAATTTTTAATAATTATAACAAGGAATAATTGTGAAAACTGAGTTCACTATTATTGTATTTTGTATCCTGGACCATTTAACTGATAAATGTAATAATGCAAAAAAAATTAATTCAGATAGTATGATACTACTAAATTATATACATATTTATAAATGGTATACTTGTATATTTCAACTCTGTGAGCAGGTTCCTCCCATTCCCTGATTCATTCCTATTCTGTAGCTAAGAATACTATAGAGATAGGACTATCCCTTCATATCATAAAAGAATGCACAGTGTGAGAGTCCTTTTGGTCAAAGCTATACAAAGTTAAATACCAATGGTATCAAGTATCTTGTATAAACTTTCATTTGTTGTCTCTAAGTCTTGTACATAGTATGTTTATATCACTTTTTGTATAGAGTAAGCAAGTTGGATAATTTGTCAGTAATAATACCATATTGAGGGATACTGCTTGAGGTTTATGTCTCCTTTTTGCCTGTTTCTAAGACTCATAAAAAGGATAAATCTAAAACATGAAAACATTCTATATTTCAGCTTGCTATGTAATTTAGGAGTATAAAACTATACTTCCTTATATTTGCATATAAGTTTGCTGTTAAAATGTGAATTTCTAAATCTGTGTTTGGAATTATATCTGCAGTTTATTTTTGCAGGCAGTGTAAATTTGTTATATGTGTGAGTGTGTGTATATGTGTATATTTTGGGGTAACAAAATTTAAAGGGAACAATGCTGCATAGCTCCTACATTAGTTAGCTTTAAATTATCTATATGTTTATACCTAAGGGCTCTTGACAAACTGGGTACAGTGTGATAGTGGCAAACCAATGGTTATTGACAGATGAAGAATCCTTAAGAATGGCTTTAGGAGATATTTTATGGTGGGTACTTATGTGAAAAACTCAGGAAGAGAACCTGCCTGTTGAAGCTATATTGGTACATGGTAATTTACATATAAAAGAGGATGTGACAAAAATAATGTATGTTCAGAATGACATGGAGTTTTGTTGTAGAAGAAAAGTCAAAAAGATAAATTTGGTATACTATGTATCTTCAACTCTCATTTTTCAGGGTTGACTTTTTTCTTTTAGTTTTATCTAAAGGCTTATTAGAAGGAAGAGGGCTCAAGATACATGTTCACATTTTCTCACTTTTTTGAGAGTGGGAGAGAATAAATCTTGAGTTTTCTAGCTTGTATTAATCAGGAGTTGTCCTTTGCTTGGGAGGGGGGCAGTAAAGAAATATTTCAATTTTTTTTCAAGAAAGTTTGGTGAAACACAGAAAAATATTACAAGAGAGAATATAGACTTCGATTTGTTGTCTGAAAAGTGAGGACCCAAAGGTAGACTAGGAAAGTTGGAAAACTTCCTTCTTCTTTCTGAGTCAGGTCCTGGATCATAAATATGGAAGCTACACTTAGGAATATGGAGACTTTCTAAACAGCCAAACAAAAACTCTAAAGCAGAAATGATATTTAAAGGTGTAAGCTTCATTTTTGTTTTGAATTCTTCACATTGCTATTCCTCTTTTACTTTAAAAACTAAGGGTGGTAGTGTTGTTATCAAGTTCAAAGGTCTAAGAGTCACTGATGCATTGAGGTGGATTGCCAGGTTTGACAAAGAGAAATTTGTAGGGTGTATAGGTGTTGATCAGGCATTGCTCTGCTTCACCTCAAAAGCTTGTAAAATGCAAAGCCAGTTAACTTTGACACAACTAAAACATACTTGTGTTTGATTTCCAAGCAACAGTGTCAAATAACTTGCAGATTGTTTGCTTCCATAAAAGATAAGCATACATGTATTAGGCTTCTATGTCTACTATTGGATATTATACAAATGGTAGTGAATAAAAGGACTTACATAGTTTTGTTTAGTTATAATTACCATGTAGATTTAGGTATGGTGTAAATGATACTAATGTAATTAAATTTCAGTCGATTCTATGTAGGTTTGCCTTTCATTTATATGTAGCATATAAATCATCTTTGTAAAATGTATCGCCAAACTAGTTGCCAGCATTTATTTGGCAAATGATCTTGAAATTTGTTATTTTTTACAAGTTAAGTACCTTATATATTCAAAAGTAAATGCTGTCCTTCTTTCCATCAGCTTTTCATTTGTTACAGATCTTTGTGTTTAAATGCTTCAAAGTCTGCATTTTTTTCCTGAAAAAAAACAACATAGTTTTGGAGGGATCAGTTTGGAATCTTTGTACTCTATGATATGAACTTATCTTGAGATCCAGCCTTTTAAAAAATTACTTTGAAGAATTACTAGGACATAATCTAAATAGAAATTATTTTTTCAGAGTGGAATTTGACTTTTTTAAGAGTCTTGGCAGAGAATGTAAATGTACACTAACTTTTAAATATCAGACAAGACATTTAGCTTCCTCTCTAAAAATAGATAAAAATTTAATTTCATTGTATTATGATGGTAGGAAAATGCTTCAAAGCAGGGTGGTGGGAAGGGATGGTTAAAGTTTAGCATTTAACAGTTCAGCATGTATTTTCCTATAGCACCTCAATTGTTCACATACCCATGTCTGAAAATTGACATACACCTTTGGTTGGGTTACATTTTATTGTGTTAGATTCACTTGTGTGGATGATTTCAGCAGAGACAAGAAGCTGAATTGTGACTGCCTGCCCACTGCATTGGGCTCTGGAGTGAGAGCACTTGGCTCTGGCAGCTCCCGTTGGATGGTAGGTGGTTGAAACGGTTCACTGACGGTCATAGTGAGTGTTCTGGGCTGTGAAACATGGAGCTCCTCCACCTCCAAGAATGGCTCATCTGCCATTGGCTTCCTGTACGTCAGAGAGCAGCGTGATATGTCCAAAATTACTGTACTGTCTGCTGAAGTGTCCCAGTCCACATTTGTTTTATAATTTACCAAAGTGCTACTTAGGTATATAGCACTTCCTGTAGCGAGCTGGTGTAATTGCTGCTTTTAGCATTGTTTTAAATGTATGTATCGAGTGACTGAACAGACTAAAATCACATAGCTCAGTGTACAAACACCATTTTAATAAAGTATGTGCATTAAACACTTCACAATCGAATGATTTATTTGACCTCCGGACCTGCCAAGATTAATTATGTGACCATGTGAGCACTAATATAAGAGTCAATGAATGGTTGGAAATTTCTTTTAGTGGACAAATTCTAGATGTCTGCAAAATTAATGTGAAGAATCTTTGAGAAAGTATTCTATCTATTCAAATTTTTTTGATTTAATCTAAAACAACACCTGTCTCTTTTTCTTCTCCCAAAATATTTGTTGGTACATCAGAGGAAAATGTTCATGATGATTTCTACCTTATTTTGCCTGTTGTATATTTCACTGCAGCATATCCATACATTAAAAATTAGAAACAAGTGCTTGACAGCAATACTGTAGAACTCGACATTATTCATTTAACAAACAATTTTTGATGTCGTGTCTGATTGAGTACCAGGCAGTGGCTGCAGTGCGCTGGCACGAGGGCCTCTTCTAGAACGCATCCCTTCAAAGTGACTTTGTAAACCGTGGCAGCAGAGATCTGTCCTGTTTTGTTCAGACTCCATACCTGATACTTACATGTTTTGCAATGAGGAGAAAATGCTTGTTGAATCATTAATCACTAATGCTTGTTGAATGAGTAACTTAAAGCATTCAATTAGTTTTCTTAGTGGGGAAATGGGTATTAGATCTTAAACAGTAAGCTAATTGTATCTTACAGTGAAGGGATGATCTCACCTGTTTGTGCTTCCTTAGACAATCAGAGCTTTCTAAAGTGTAAGTTACGGAAATAAGGTTCAGAAGCTTTCCGAGCCTAATGTGAAAGGGCAGTGCTGCATGAACGACTAACGTTGCTTCTTTAGAAGATGGAGAGAAAAACAAACACCAAGGGTCTCAGGCTATGCTTCTTTGCATATGTTATCTCATTCTTCACAACCACACAAGGAAGCTCTTTTTTACATGTTTCTCACTGCCTTTGATCACATTTTTATTCAGAATTATCTGTCCAAAGTGATTTGACCTTTATGGAATAAACAAATTTAAGTTTATGCATCAGGCTTCTTTTATTCTGTGGTAGATTTCTGCTGGCTTCTCAGCTGCTGGTTTTTTGGTAAATGCAGCCTTTTTTCCCACCACTGACTTCTCTTTCCACCATCAAGAGCCTTCTTTCCTTCCCTTTCACAGGCTTCTTGCATGGAACCTCTTCTCATCTGATTTGGCTTCTAGTGCTGCTGCTACTTTATCCACCCAGAGCCTAGAGAATTCTTATTCAGGATTCTGCAATGAATCTAACTGTGTGGTACTTGGAGGGCTCTTTGGATCTCTGGGCTTTTCAAGATCCTGCCAAGGTCTGTACTGAGTGTCACGTGTGTGTGAAAGTTGTAGTTACTCTGGAAGGAGGCAGCTCTACACCAAATGCCACACAGATCATCTAAGTTTCGAAAGCACTTTCAGTCCAAATGCAGACATGGCCCACGTGCCCACCAGGAGCAAGTTTCAGAATGCTCCGCTTGCTTACATTAAGCAGAGTAATTCCAGGGATGTTTCTGAAGGCTTTGATGATACTGTCTGTTGTCCTTGTTACACAGGAGGTACCAGGTCCCATGTGCTGGATATGATGACAGTTTCTCATTTTGCTCTTATCAGCTCTCCTTCACTGAGAGGCATAGATCTTTGTGGTATCATTCTAGGCCTTAAGTTTCTTAAGAAGCAAAACAGCCTCCTTGATTTTCCTATAGCCTTCAACTTTATCTTGAACCACCAAAGGACATTCAGGAACTTCCTCAGTATGATGGCCTTTAGACATGACCAGTGCTGGTTCGGCAGGGGCAGCTGAGCAGAGCAGATGGTGTATCGCTTCTGTGTTGAGTTCACTCTGTGGTGCCAATAGCACCAGGTTTTGGTCAGTGCAAATATGCGGCCCCCAGGATGCATTTCCAAAACCACCCTTGCTGGAAGGATGAGTCCCAACACCTTGAACTCTGGGAATTCAAACCAGCTTTATCAGCACCCAAGACTCAGCAGTGGTGCTGATGACCTGCCAGCTCACTGACAACACAGGGCTGTCTATTGTTTTTGCGCAAGTTGGTGTGAACTTAGTTCACAATATCTTGTTGAATGGGAGCCTAGAACACAGCAGGGCAAGTGATATTTCTGCCAGATGATTCCCCCTTTTTAGAGTGCACTGACACCAGTGGACGAGCACATGCGATGGCGTGGAGAAGAGGCTATACTCCTCTCACCCTGGTGGCTCCCAGGAAAAGCCAGGGAAGCCTTTTTGATTATCGTTTTTATTGATGAGGAAATTGAACTTTCAAGCAGCTAATAATAGCAAGATCTAATCCAGACCCCTTTGACTTCAGTCTATGTCCCTTCTATTCTACCGTACCTCCTTTATATATTAGCAAAAGTAAAACCAGTTCACTACTGTCAAGACATCTACTAATATCCATCCACAGAAGGATCTTTGCTGGACATGAAAAAGTTATACAGACATGATTCAGAAACTCTAACTTTGTGGGTGGGTAAACATATTAAGGGTAGTAACTGAGCATATGTCATCTAAATAAACTAGGGTAGGGAACTAAATTATGTCCAAGCCAAATGAGCATAACTGAAGAGCAGATGTGAATGGCTGGATACAGAATGGCTGTTTTAAATAGCTCGTGATCAGATGATCACTTATGAAAGCCCAATAAATGAGCCTATCAATGACAAGCATTTATTGAGAACCTACTGCCTATGTCTGCGGTGACACTAGGGTGGGTCTTGCAGGGCTTGGGGATGGTAGTGGCTGATTATCTCCCTGGAGAAGCTTTGTGCAGGGACAGGAAAGTTATATCAGAACACAGAAGGGTTCACCTGGGCAGGTGAAGCAAAGACCTGGGTTGGTGGCAACCAGTGTAACCAGCCAAGTAACAGCCTTTGGTTTCATGTCAAAAGTAAGTTCTTTCAAAGACTAGGAGACTCAAGTCATGTCTTAGAAGGCAGATGGCCAAAGGCAGGACTACTTGCATATTTTTATGCAAAACAAAGATACCAGGCCCTTATTAAAAAATTATGGGGACCTATCAGGTGGCAGGGCTGAGATGACTTGCATCATAGAAACTGGCAGTGACATAATTTTGGCAGGGGCTCCTATTCATTGGTCTTGCTTAACTGTTTGGCCTGGGTGACCATGCCTGTATCAACTGGTACTTCTTTCTGTTTGGACATAATCTTGAATAGATCCAACCTTTAGCTAGTCAACAACCTATCAGATTCTTCTAAAAGTCCATGCAACATGATGTTCAGGCTTTCTAGCCGTCTCCTAGGAGGAGCTAGGATTGAGAGGTCATGTCAAACTGGCACGGCCATTTCTAGATAATGTGCATACTTTTGAGTATGCAGAGAGAAAATACTTCCCCAGAAAGGGACAGAGAAGTGGAGAAAAAGCTGCCTCTATTCAACAGTCTCAATTCCAACCCATGGCTAGTTTGAGAGGATTTCTATACAGACCAAAACTCCTGCAGATACAAAATATAAAAAGAAACTACCCACACAGGAACAAAATCAGGTATGAAAGAGATGTTACCACAGACATCACAGAAGTGCAAAGAATAATACTAGAAAACAAAGACTATAGGCCATCAAATTCTATAATGTAGAAGAAATGGATAAGTTCCTTGAAATATATAACCTTCCAACACTGAATCATGAGGAACTGCAAAATCTAAATAGACCAATCAACAGAGAGGAAATTGAGACAACCATTGAAAACCTCCCAAAAAGCACAAGTCCAGGACCAGATGACTTCACTAGTGAATTCTACTAAACATTCAAAGAAGATCTGGTATCTATCCTTCTCAAATGCTTTCAAAATATTAAAGAAGATGTCCTGGCCAGTGTGGCTTAGTTGGTTGGAGCATCATCCCATAAACTGAAAGGTTGCAGGTCCGATTCCTGGTCAGGGCAAATACCTAGGTTGTGGGTTCTGTCCCAGCTGAGGTGTGTAAGAGAGTCAACTGATTGGTGTTTCTCTCTAACATCGATGTTTCTCTGCCTCCGTCTCTCCCTCCCTTCTCCTCTCTCTTAAAATCAATAAGCATGTCCTCAGATGAAGATTAAAAAAATGAAGAAGAGGCAATACTTCCTAACACATTTTATGAGGCCAAAATAAGCCTGATACCAAAACCTGGCAAGGATAACACACACACACACACACACACACACACACACACACACACTACAGACCAATATCCCTGATAAATACAGATGCAAAAATCCTAAATGAAATACTAGCAAACAAAATACAATAGTACTTAAAAAAATAACATGTCATGATCAAATGGGGTTCCTTCCAGGGACATAAGGCTGGTTCAACATACAGAAATCAATCAATGTAATACACCACATCAACACAATAAAGGATAAAATAATATAATCTTATTAATAGATGCAGAAAAAGCATTTGATAAGATGTGTCATCCATTTATGATTAAAACACTCAATAAAATAGATATAGAAGAAAAGTACCTCAACATAATAAAGGCATATATGACAAACCCTCAGCTAATATCATAACCAGTGGTGAAAAACTAAAAACTTTTCATCTAAGTTCAGGAATAAGACAAGTATGTCCACTCTTAATCACTCTTATTCAATATAGTAATAGAAGTCCTAGCCAGAGCAGTCAGAGAAGAGAAAGAAATAAAAGTCATCCAATTTGGGAAGGAAAAAGTAAAAGTGTCACTTTTTTCAGATGACATTTTTATATAGAAAACCTTCAAGACTCTACAAGAAAACTATTAGGAACAATAATCAAATACAGTAAAGTTGCAGGAAACAAAATCCACTGCATTCCTAGATACTAACAATGAAATTTTGGAAAAAGAACAGAAAAAAAACCCAATTTCTTTTGCAACTGCAACCAAAAGAATAAAATACCTAGGAATAAACTTAACAAAGGATATGAAGAACCTATATACTACAAACTACAAAGCATTATTAAAAGAAATTACAAAAGACAATGAAATGAAAAGATATTTTGTATTGATGGATTGGAAGAATCAAC